AAAAAGACTTTCTGGGGAATTCTGGGAGTTGAAGTCCAGACATCTTAGAGTTAACAAAGCTGAGAAACACTACAAAAACGACTTTTTGGAGAATCAATCTACATTCTTACATCTCTGGCCAAATCTACTTTCAGATGAGAAACCAGAGAAATACTGATCCAGCATGAGAGATACTCAGCCCATGGGTTTAAAAACAATAACAATAAAAACATAACCCAATTATTTTTCCTTTTTTTTTTGTCTTAGTCCACATTCTTTTTTCCCCCCTTTTCCTTTACTTTCTGTATTTTGATCTGTGGCTCTAAACTGAATCCATGAAAGCTTGAAACGGAAGAATAGGGGATAGAGGGAGGTGGTGTTTTTCTGGCTCCAGTAAGAGTCCCCTTCTTGGCAGGTGAACATGGAAACGGCTCGGTACTTCAAGTCAGACTTCGAGGAGAACGGGTCCATGGAGAACGTCTGCCTCTTCCTCAACTTGGCCAACGACCCCACGTGAGTCCGTAGCCTGGGTCCTGGGGGACAGGATGATGGGAACCACAGCAGCCCCCAGACCCAGAGGCTAAAAATTACGAAGAACAATTGCAGGAATTGGGTATGTCCTGACTAATTGAACAGAAGGGCTTGGGGGGGGGGGGGGGGGGACACATGATGGCAGTCTTCCAATATTTGGGGCTGCCCCAAAGAAGAGTGGGTCAAGATCAGAGGTGGTATTCAACCGGTTCTGACCAATTCTGGAGAACCGGTAGCAGAAATTTTGAGTAGTTCGGAGAACCGGCCAATGCCACCTCTGACTGGCCCCGCCAACCCCATTTCTTCTCTGCCTCCCATTGAGTCCCAGCTGATCGGCTGGGTCTTCTTTGGTTGCCCTGCACAGGAGAACGGAACTGGAAAGCAGGTTAGTGGGGTGGGGAGGGAAGGGGGATTTTGCAGTAACCTTCTCCTGTCATGTCCACCAAGCCACGCACCATCCACCAAGCCACACGCTGTCCACTAACACACCAAGCCACGGCCACAGAAGCGGTAGTAAAAAAAATGTGAATACCATCACTGCCCCAGACCCCAGAGGCTAAAACATACAAACAACAGTTGCAGGAATTGGGTATGTCCTGGCTAATGAACGAAGGACTTGGTGGGGACATGATGGAGATTGTCCCAATATTTGACGGGCTGCCACAAAGAAGAGGGAGTCACCATCAAGCTATTGTCCAAGCCAACGAAAGGCAGGACAAGAAGCAATGGATGGACACTAACCAAGGAGAGAAACAACTTAGAACTAAGGAGGAATTTCCTGACAGTGAGAAAGATTTACCAGTGGAACAGCTTCCCACCAGAAATTGTGGGTGCTCCTACACTGGAGGCTTTTAAGAAGAGATTTTCGAAGAGATTTAAGAAGATTCCTTTGTCTGGAATGATGCAGGGTTTCCTCCTTGAGCCGGGTGGGGTGGGGTGGGGTGGGTGGACTAGAAGACCTCCAAGGTCCCTTCCAACTCTGGTATTCTCCTGCAGAATCGAGCGGATCATTACGCCCCGTCTGGCTCTGACCACCGCCGAGTTCCTGGCCTATCAGTGTGAGAAACACGTTCTGGTGATCCTAACCGACATGAGCTCCTACGCCGAGGCCCTGCGGGAGGTCAGTGGGTCGGTGCTGGGCCAGAATCTCCTGGCTATGAGGACAGGGGTGGGGTGGAGGGTCAGACCTGGCTTCCTCTCTGCTCTGTGAGATTTTATTTATTTATTTTATTTTTATTTAGTTTAGTTTGTCAAGCATGTATGAGAAAACAAGTATGAACATAACATAAAAACATATAATCGAGTTTGGAGCAGGTTACGTTGAGTTTGTATCTATTGTTTGCCCTGGTGCTATTGTGGTGGAAGCTGAAGTAGTCATTTTCCTTCTCACTAAGGGACAGGCTGCTGGGTGGGCGTGGCCATGGTGGGCGTGGCCTAGTTGGCCTCCTGCACCATGGTGGGGGAGGGGTTTGCACTCCCCGGGCTCCGGAGGCTTTCCTTAAGCCTCCAGGAGGGTGAAAATGGCCTCCCCAGGCTCCAGAGGCTCCCTGGAAGCCAGAAACGGGCCCATTTCCGGCCTTCTCAAACTTCCGGGAGGCCCGTTTTTTGCCCTCCCTGAGCCTCCATGCATGCCCTGCCCTTCCCTGCATCCAAAACGGGCCACGTGGGGACTCCTGGGAGGGGAGGGGAAGGGTGGGCAAGGCCAGCCAGTGGTGGGATTTGGAGGTTCTACGAACTGCGCAGAATCTTAGCGAGGGCCTCTCCCGAACCCCCAGCAGCCCAGCCCCGCAAGGTTCTCAGCCTTCCCTCCGTAGGTCTCGGCGGCCAGAGAAGAGGTGCCTGGACGACGGGGGTTTCCTGGCTACATGTACACTGACCTGGCCACCATCTATGAGCGGGCAGGGCGAGTGGAAGGCAGGAACGGCTCCATCACACAGATACCCATCTTGACGATGCCCAACGACGGTGAGAAGGGCTGCACGAGGTCAAACTCTCGGCCAAGGCAGCAGGTCCCCGGGGTAGAAAATCCATGCAGGGTCTGGGGAGAGGGGATTGGGGGTGGGGTGGGGGGCTCTGGGTCCACGAATGATGGAAAATGCAACTGGGGTGGAGGTGGTACAGGTAGTCCTTGGCTTATGAACACAACTGAGCGCCACATTTCCGTTGGTAAACAAGATAGTTAGGTGAGTTTTGTCCCAGTTTATGAGCTTCTGCACCCAGGCCTCTCCTATTACTGTCTGCCTCGAGGTTCCTCTGTTGAGAAAGGGACACAGGTCACTAAAATTAAGAAGGAAGAAAAGAAAGCAAAAGTAAACTAATGGAACAATAAAATAAACAAGGAAACAAAACCCAAAGAAAATACATCAATAGGACTAGTAAAATATATCTAAATTATATAATTTATATCTGAATCATCTGAATCATATCTCTCTCTCTCTCTCTCTCTCTCTCTCTCTCTCTCTCTCTCTCTCTCCCTACCTACCTACCTACCTACCTACCTACCTACCTAGAAGAGCAACCAAGATGATTAGGGGACTGGAGCAGAGGTGGTATTCAGCAGGTTCTGACCAGTTCTGGAGAACCGGTAGCAGAAATTTTGAGTAGTTCAGAGAACCAGCAAACACCCCCTCTGACTGGAGATTTTACAGTATCCTTCCCCTGCCATGCCAACCAACACGCCCACAGAACCGGTAGTCAAAAAAAAAATTGAATCCCACCACTGGACTGGAGGCTAAAACATATGAAGAAAGGTTACAGTAACTGGGCATGGCTAGTCTAGGGTAGAGAAGGACCAGGGGAGACAGGATAGCATCTTCCAATATTTGAGGGGCTGCCACAAAGAGGAGGAAGGAGTCAAGCTATTTTCTAAAGCACCCGAAGGCCAGACAAGGAATAACAGATGGAAACTGAACAAGGAGAGAGATTCAACCTGGAAATAATGAGAAACTTTCTGACAG